TGCCTCCCCCTCCCCCACCTTCTCACCATGCGCGCACATCTATGATTAATAGCTTCTACTCCCTTTACCTATCAAGTTTCACCCCTCCAGGCCGACACTTAATTACACAGTTAATTCTCTTATTAATAGGCAACGACCGTTTGCAGTTGAATAAGAGGTCACGAAATATTATGACGTCAATAAATTCTGCTAATCTCGTGATTTTTGCCTTGTTCAAATTTCTTCCGGGAAAACAATGTTTAAGGTTTCAAATACCTCGGAGCAGGGTTGTTACCGAATGACTAGACGAAGAACGACGTTGTCTTCCGAATCGACGCAGCTCGTCGAGCTTTATCCAGCCTTAGAAAGTGCCTCTCTATCCGAGGTGACATTTCTATAGCCACGAAGGTTTACGTGTACCGTGCAGTGTGTCCTTCTCTACGGTTGTGAATGGTGGACTATGTGCGTGGAAGATTAAAGTAAAGTAGAGGTATTTGACCACTGCTACTTGAGGATCATCCTTCGAGTGAAGTACACTGACCTAGTCTCAAGTGAAACCGCCTGACTCGCCACGACAACACCACAATTATATCTTAAGTCATCCAATAAAGACGACTGAGGTGATTTGGACATGTTCTTAGTCGCCCACCTCACGAACTTAATGCTACTGCCCTCCACCCCAAACTGTTATCCAATTGGAAGATTCGAAGAGGGGTCAGTTCCAAACCTTCCTCGACTCAGTCCGTCAGGACATGGAAGTGGTTCTTGGACCTTCGGTATTCGCCTTCCGACGTTGGTGAAAGAAATAGATGGAACTGTTCAAGTCTGTTGCCATGGACTATACCGCGTGAAGAAGTACCGTCAGGGATATCATCGGGGCCGACTAGATCAGTCATGATCGCAGCCGTAGCAAATGCAAATACAATAAATGTATTCCTATAATTAATATCTAACAGCACCGCCAGCAATTTACCCAGTGAGGACCAGTTGCCTGACGGTGCCATACCTTGACTTGTATGTAGCACCCTCTACTTTTACCCACTTCCTGTACAATAGTTGAAAGTTATCTCCCATTACATAGATTTAGATACATAAATTTATGTGGACTTATCTAATCATAGGCCCAGAGAGCTCACCTTGGACTTTGTTTCACAAACTCCACCGGTGTTAGGAGGAGCCTAACGGACAGTTAGCGGGCAGTTAGCATGCAACAGCAGGCCGCACTCATTGCAGGTCCTCGAGCGGCCTACACGCCTCGAGTGCATACGGGCAGTCAATCAATCAATAGTTTAACATTTAATCTGCAGCCAGCCGTTGAGTCACAAGACAATCGTGCCGCTACCCTCGCCAGGACAGAAGCTGATTGGCCCGATGGACATAGTTTTACACGCGTTTGTTGCCCTAAATATGTTGTACCAATTACGCCCTAAGACTTCTGTTTTCGCCCTCTTCTTAACGTGTTCTTCCTTGGGGGCTGACACAAGACGTAATTAGGCGCTGATATTTCAGCTTTGGCTACCATTACAACGATCGGTACCCTCCGAAGAATTCTTACACTATCTGGTTATCTTGTCTCTCGCTCTACAAAAGGTACTACCATTGGGCAGATGGGCAACCATCATTGCGTGGTGCCACATTCACATCGGTGTATTAATCATTATATAAATAAGTAAAACGTCAAAAGTTCGAGTACTGCGCCCTCTTGTGGATTGTTGCTTGCAGAAAATCACTTTACGAAGGGGGCCGATGTGTGTGTGTTGCGGCTGGGAGCATATTTCGCGTGAAAGAAGAGGAAGGAAAGAGGGCTTGGCTGGGCTGTGGCCTGTGATCGACCCTAACCGAAGAGCGCCTTTGGCTTGGTCATCACGGAATGACCAATAGAATCGCGCGGTGTGCCGGTGGGCAAAAAAAG